TGTGTTGTTAGATCACTTTTCTAAACGCCCACATGGTGGCACCACTTCCTTTCATAATCAGAATCTTTTTTTTTTTTAATCCAGACATGATTTAGCAAGAAGTTGACAGCAGCTTTCTTAAGAACTAAAGTATAAAAAGCACATCCACCCGTGATACATGCACAGGGTTATTGTTTGGGACAAGTGTCGTCGTAAGTATTGTGTGAGAAGTGCAGTGAGTTACATACACGCAGTCGGTAAAGAAACGATGAAAGAACAATCGCTGCAGACATACGGGCCTGTGTTACTCATCAAGTGTCCCAGAGAGCCTGTATACACAATAACCAGCCTCTTCCTCCTGCTGAAGGTCAGCGCTGTGCAGCTTTACACTGATTCATTTACACCTGTGTGATGTCAAAACGTCAGCTGTTAGAAAGTCAAATCTACAGCAGCACAGAGTTAATACAGATCAGTGGTGCTTTAACAAGCAGCATTATCAAGCTGAATGAGAGACGTTGCTGAGGATAAACCAGAAATAGATTTTATTTTTTTGAATCAGTCAGTGTGTATTCGTAGTTTTGCACAGCAGTGTTAGTTTTTGACATTCTTGCGCCGACAGCAGAGGAAGGGTCGGGGCAGTGAGATGCAGATAAGGGGCCTCGGATTCAGTCTTGACACTTCAACAGTTTTTTTTCTCTAAAGTTTGTTTGTTTGCTTTGGAGTAGGTTTACTGTTTCCTTGTGGGTTTAGTGTATTGGGAGAGGATGGGGGACTTACAGTCAGAGGAAATGTGTCTGCTGACAGTCTGTGTCTCACATCAGGTAATCCATACATGAACGGACCAGTTTGGTTACGTTCTGTGGTAAATATGACATTTCTCCTTATTAACTCTAATGAAATTGTTAAATGAAAGCAAAATTAATTCATGTTGTGTAACTTTTTGTACTTTTAGTGCATTACAGAATTTTAATTTGAATTAAGGATCAGCCAGTTTATCATCTACTTAAACAATAAATGTTCATGATTACTCCATCGGCTCCAGAGGGACGTGTTCCTGCTCACATCAGTGTTGAAACACAATCCTTTATTTTGCTCTCAGAAAGGTGACGCACTGATATCAGAGGGACACGCTTCACTGACAGTCACAGAGCAGATGGAGTTTCACAGCTGAGTGTTTACCAGAGGAGGTACGAAGATAATCATCTTCTTCTCTCCTCCAGGCGTCCCTGTGTCTCCCTCTCATGCATGTTCATGTCATGCACGCATCGTGTACAACAGTGATGCCAGCAGGACGAACATGTTCACACTCTGCTGAGAGCCGGTACTCCTGCTGCTTGTCCTGATTTAACAGAGCATGGAGAGACACTGTTCACACACAAGCTGCCGTCTGATCCTCATCTGCATTCTTTCCTACAGGAGATGATGATCACAAAGCATGAGGTCTCACGGCTACGACAGTTCACACACACAGACACACACACAGAACCAGGCGGTATCCTGTGATAGATCCACTATCGGCACCTGACACCTCGAAAACAGGAAAAACGTTTCAGCAGGAACGCAGATGTGTTGGAGTGTTTGGGGGAGGAGCATGGCCGCGACTATAAAGCCTCTGCAGATGGAAGTCTCAGCTTCACTCGGCTCAGAGAGGAGAGCGACTGTTTCATCATGTCCTACTATGAGGTAAGAATAGTTCAGTCAACACTGGGAGCTTTGATTCACAGGTCTGGCTGCATTGTCATCATTATGTTCTCATCTGTCTCCAGCACATCCTCTTCGACTACGACTACAACGACACGGGTTCTGGCTCTGGTTCTGGTTCTGGGTACCTGGGAGTGGATCTGGAGGAGCCCTGTGATGTGGAGCACCTGATGACGACTGAGCTGCAGCAGGTCTTCTTGCCGGTGGTCTACGCCCTCATCTTCACCCTGGGCATCACCGGAAACGGCCTGGTGGTCATAGTGCTGGGCTGCCAGCGCAGGTCAGAGGACCGGTGGAGGACTGATGAGTTTGATGCGTGTTGTGGTGAATGAACATGATAACAATTAGATTTTCTGTTTTCATCTGCAGGTCTAAATGCAGCCTCACGGACCGGTACCGCCTCCACCTCTCAGCGGCTGACCTCCTCTTCGTCCTGGCGCTGCCCTTCTGGGCCGTGGATGCAGCTCTGTCCGACTGGCGCTTCGGAGCAGCCACCTGCGTCGGCGTTCACGTGATCTACACAGTGAACCTGTACGGCAGCGTCCTCATCCTGGCCTTCATCAGCCTGGACAGATACCTGGCAGTGGTCCGAGCCACCGACACAAACACTGGTGGCCTGAGACAGCTGCTGGCTCACAGACTGGTGTATGTAGGTGAGTGTCAGCAGAGGGATCGGCTCTTTCTTCTCTTCCTCTTCTCATTTCTCTTCTTTTCTTCTTCTCTTGTCTTGTTTTCTCTTCTCCTCTCATTCTTCTCTCTTATCTGTCTTTTTTTCTACTCTGCTCTTTTCCAACTTTTTAATTCTTGTTCCTCTTCTTTCCTCTCACTCTTCTATTCTCTGGTCTCTTCTTCTACTCATCTTTTATTTCCTTCTCTTCCTCTTCTCTTCCTTTTCTTTTTGTCTCTTCTCATTTCTCATCTTCTATGTTCTCTTCTTTTTCTCTTTTCATTTCTCTTTTCCCCTTTTTACTGGTCCTCTTTTCTCTTCTCTAATTCTAAACTGCTCTACTTTTTCTCTTCTTATCTTTACTTCTCTTCCTCTCTTTTCCCGTCTTCACTTCTGCTTTTTTCTTTTCTCTCTTTTCTTCTGTTCTTCTCTTCCTCTTATTCTCTTTTCACTTCTTCTATTGTTCTCTCTCTACTTTTCTTTTCTTCTCTTTTCTTCTTCTTCTTCTTCTTCTTCTTCTTCTTCTTCTTCTTCTTCTTCTTCTTCTTCTTCTTCTTCTTCTCTGACATCTTTTCCATCTCCTTCCTCTCTGCAGGTGCCTGGTTACCAGCCGGCCTTCTCGCCGTCCCAGACTTGATATTTGCCCGAACAGAGGAAGGAGGAGAAGGATCCACTCTGTGCCAGAGATTCTACCCAGCAAACAACGCTCCTCTCTGGGTCGCCGTCTTCCACCTCCAGCTGGTCCTGGTGGGTCTGGTTATCCCGGGCCTGGTTCTCCTGGTGTGTTACTGCGTCATCGTCACCAGGCTGACCCGAGGCCCGCTGGGGGGCCAGAGGCAGAAGCGCCGGGCGGTCAGGACCACCATCGCTCTGGTGCTCTGCTTCTTCGTGTGCTGGCTGCCCTACGGGGCCGGCATCTCCGTGGACGCCCTGCTGCGTCTGGAGGTCCTGCCGAGGAGCTGCCGGCTGGAGGCCGTTTTAGGCGTGTGGCTGGCGGTGGCCGAGCCCATGGCCTTCGCTCACTGCTGCCTGAACCCCCTGCTGTACGCCTTCCTGGGGGCCGGGTTCAAGAGTTCAGCCCGCAGAGCTCTCACTCTGAGTCGGGCCTCCAGTCTGAAGGTTTTACCACGAAGACGCCACGGGGCCTCCACGACCACAGAGTCCGAGTCCTCCAGTTTACATTCCAGCTAGGGTTTGCTGGTCTATGTATAATGTATATAGTGTACATATGTGTGTATATATGTGGGAAAGTTTACACAAAGTATCTGAGAACGTAAGGAGCAGTCTGCTGGCTCAGGACTTCTCTTCTTCTCATTGTGCGGTTTCTCGTGTACATAGTGTTTTTATGCTGCTGTGCTTTTACACTCTTGTTATTGTTTGTAATAAAACTTACAAAACACTCATGTCTGTGACAGTGTCTGTTATTTGAAATATATTTTTTGCTTCCTGATTGACTTCTTGGCTCGCACTTCAATCACTCGACCACCGCTCAGCAGCTGAGATAGATATCATTAAAGCCGCGCAAATAATTCAGAGTCCGAGCCGGCTAATGAGATGAGAGATGAAGGCCTTTCAGCTTTATCACAAAAAAACACACTGGAAAAGGGACGGGAAACATGAAGCTGGAAGAACAACAAGCCTGAATCAAATGTATTTGGGCCTAATTGCCGATAGCTGGTCTCAAAGCTTAAAATCCTGATTGCTTTTTGGAAACATACAGTTGTGCTTTATGTTTGCGGTGCCTGGGGGCAGATTTTAAGGAAAGCATCAGTAATGGGATGTACTCTTCTAATCTTATTAATCATCAGCTTTTCTCTCTTTGTGTTGATTCGTTACCATTCAGCTGTGTGCCATCTGAATCCACTGATCCGCGACACAGACCAGTTCTTTTGAAAGACGAAACTTTGAGATGCGATGCGTGATAACCAGGTGGAGCTGAGTCAAAGGGTGTGAAAGAGGGATGTGATCGTGTCACTGTTTCAGGGGATGCAGGTTAGATTTATGTTGATGATATAAACAGTTTGCAGCTTCTACGTGAGAGAGGAGGGAGCACCGAGAGGTCAAGAGGTCCATTTTTCCAGTCTTTTAATGCACAAATACACACACAAAAGTGCTTCCCACAAGCCTCCTTCCACTTGGAAGTGTGAGAAACAGAAGCTGGAAGTTTACTGTGTCCTGTTTCCTGGAGCAAAGATGAGAGGAGGAGGAGAGGATGAAGAGGAGATTTGTGTGAGAGACAGAAAGGAAAAATACAGTAAGTCAGCAGCACAATGAAGGTTTCCCTCTGAGGCGGCGTGACTAACTGGAGGAGTTCATCAGCGTATCTGAGACTGCTTCACCGTGTGCTGGTGCGGCTTGTATATGTACAGAAATGTTAAATATAAGTAGAAAACGCACATCGCCGGGTATCTCCTCATGTAAGTTTGCTTTTGCCGCTGCGACACATTCACACATGCACACACAAACACACACGCACACACACACAATTCACTTCTATTCATAGTGTATTCAAAACAGGAAAGACTTCCTGCAGCTCATTTTAGGAAAAACAAGCAGCTAAAACAATCAAACAGCCCAGCAGTTGAGGGCTCACCAACACAGAGAGCCGTCATAAAGCAAATCAGTTACCCTGAAGCACTTTAAACATCCAGAACACATATTGACCCCAATATAGATTTGACCTTTTTTTTCTTTTTAAAGTTTTGAGTCACAGTTTTAGCCCATCGTTTGCCCCCAATCTTGCTTTTAATACTAATACACTAAAAAGTGTTTGACTAACTTAAATGCATTGCTTTTACTGGTAAAACACATTTAAATTAAGTTTAATTCAAATTAAGTTAAATACTTATATCAGTGCTGCTGGTTTAAGTCCTTTAATCATTTGATTCCTGATATATGAACAGTTTACACAGCTGCAGCTTCAATTTAAGGAAAGTGAACATGAAATTTCCTCTTTTTTTTTTTTTTCAAATTTAAGGTATTTGCTTTACTCCAACATAAATTGTAAAACATGGTTTTGTCATTAGACTCTTCTTCTCTTCCTGCTGGACAAAAACAGTTGCAGCAGAAAAACTGAAGAAACATGAACGTCACGACATCAGATGCAAAATACTTACTTAGTTTTTACACTTTCGCCCAAGATACAATACAAAAAGGTGCAAAGTGTAATTTTGAGTTAATGAATCACCAAAGCAGGAATGTTAATAAGAATGATTTGAAACAGCTCATTACTTCAGCTGCCCTTGATGAACCCCTGAATTTTCATCTCTACTGTCATTACACTCACTTTGTGTTGAGTTATTAAAGTAAAAATGCCAAAGCATCATGTAAATGTACTGATACTACTACACATCATATCATCAGAATAGTGTTACTCGTGCAGCAATGTACTTTTTTTTCCCTAGGATGGTTGATTTGGAGCTTATTTTGACCCGCTGTGTATCCAACTTCAACTCATGATTATTTTCTCCATCGATCAGTTGATCGATTTGTGAAAATAGTAAGAAATGTCCCCACTAGAATTATTATCAAAGTAGTTGCTGATTTTCTATCAGCTGATTGATAGATCCATTAACTAATTCTTTCAGCTGTGTTTGTGCTTTGCATTAGCAAGTTTCTGTTTGTACAGGAAACCAAAGACAATCCATAAGAAGGCTATTACAAGTATTACATTATTTTTTATTATTATTTTGCTTTGCATTTAAGCCTTTTAGTCAAATCTGAAATCTCAGAATGCTTTAAAAATTTAAGATTTAACATTGAGTTTTGACTTAGATTTGTTTACACTCACATTAATATAACTTTATTTCCAATATTTGATTCCAGCACGGGCTGCAAGGTGGCTCAGTTGTTAGCACCTCGCAGTGAGAAGATCCCCGGTGAGGACACTCGGGATCTTTCTGCGTGGAGTCTCCATGTTCTCCCCGTGCAGTGTGGGTTCTCTCCGGGTTCTCCGGCTTCCTCCCACAGTCCAGAAACATATTGAGGTTAACTGGTGATTCTAAATTGTCCGTAGGAGTGAATGTGAGTGTGCTTGGTTGTCTGTCTCTAAGTGTAGCCCTGTGATAGACTGGTGACCTGTCCAGGTGTCCCCTGCCTTCAACCTGAGTCAGCTGGGATAGACTCCAGCCCCCCCACGACCCTGGTGAGGATTAAGCGGTGTGTAGATAATGGATGGATGGATGGATGGTTACAGCAGTTTGCGATCAGTCTTGTCTACCAGCGATTGTTCTTTCTTCTCAGCAGTGATTCTTGACCTGAACTGATACCTTTCCCCGTCTTGCATGTTTTAGTTTTGGGTTCTGGTCTGTATACTGACTCTGCCAGTGGGGGAAGAATTCATAGTTTGACCTGAAAAAACTTCTTGGATGTCTTATCACTGTGTTTAACAAAACTGTCCTGATGTCCTGAAGTTGGGGGTTTGTGTATGAGACAAACTGTACATCCTGCTCTGGCCGTCCAGTGCTGATGTGAGCAACACTGACCTGAGTCACTGCTTGATTTCAAGTCTAGAGAGGAGAACATCACCAGAACAATAAAACCGTGTCACTGTCTGAATTCAAATAAAGCAGGAAACAACTCATCTGAAATCACGTTTCCCTTCTTCTTTTTCATATCCTGCAGCTATTTCATCACATTGTGCAGTTTCTCACCTGTTTCTGACACCATGAAAGTTTTTATCTCTGTGCACAAGCAGGTGTTACAAGGCACATAGTCTTCCTTTAGGATGGGTTTAATCTGTGCAAGCTTGTTATTATTTATTGAAGCTGCAATAATAGTTCTGCTACACCCTTCAATCACAGGTTCAGATATTATATAAAAACCTCCTCGCTGCTCGTCATGGCATTGATGTTGTGGCGCACATGTGTGAGTGTTTTGTGTCGGGGGGAGGGGGGTTGTGTGTTTGCCCTACAGATGGTCAGGTTCCTTCATATTCAGACAAGCTGAGTTTCCTGCTGCTGAACAATCGTGGGAAAGCCAGAGGTCAAGACAAAAGGAGAAATAAAGAGGGAGAGAGAGACTGCGTTGCATCCAAATGGCCCGCAATAACTTCCTGCCTTGTTCCTGGTGGATTAATACAATGTGACAGGTGAAACCAATAGCCTGCCGGGAGCGTTTGTATTGACCTCAGCAGGTGGAGACGTGAGAAAGATGTGGGAACAGAAATAGAAATTAATGGAATAATGGAGCAGAAATCAGTGTTTACCCACACAGGTGGTCCTGGGACTGAAAACTGCAGGATTTGTTGTGAGATGTTTGGTTTTTCTGCTCGCTGTTGTCCGTGACTTTATATCAGGTGCTTCAGCTGTGTCCTCCTGCTTCAAGGCTTACACGTTAGAAAAGCTGCTGCCTTTGCCTTTGAGCAAAGCATTAACCTCCAAACCATAGTAGGCTGCACCAGAACAAGTACAATTTATTTTAAAACACTTATAGCAATGCTTTGCTTTTCTGTTTAGCATTTATAAACAGTGTATAAACCTACAGTGTATGTTACATTACAATGCAGCGTTATGTAGTTATGCACCGTTATAAGAGCGATTTAGGTGTTATTAATGCATAATTAATGACTGTAATTGACACATGCATTAACAAACAACCAACATTAAAATATCCTTGTATTTGTTTATAGTTTTATTATCATGTGTGTAAATTGGTTTGTCACTTTTAATCAACTGATCAGCTTATTGATAATGAAAATAATTGTGATGTTCAATGATCAGGCCTTTGTTCTTTGCCCTGATAAACAAACAGCCTCCTCCAGTGGCCATTCAAAGGTATTTCAGTGCATCCTCAGTGGCCATAGAGTGAAAAGTTGTGATCTACAGCAGCTTATATGGGGAAAAAAGTGTAGGATTTCAAACCCTCATCTGCTCAGTCTGAGAAGATGAGGCAGACAGGCCAAAGATCTCCTGTAAGCAGTTTTTAGTGAGTCTTCAGGTGACACTCAAGCAAAAAAAAGCTCTCTTTCAGATATTACAACATGCTGTAAATTGGTGGTTTCATCTCCCACAGAGCAGCTTTGAGCGTTCCGTTAGAGCACAGATTGTAGTTGTGACTGTTTCTCCACAGAGGATGCAATCGACTCTTCTGATGTGAGCACAAGGTGGGAATGGATGCTGTTTTCTACTAGATTATAAACCACAGCGCTGACAGACCAGCTAGAGAGTCTGGTTATCTGCAATGATCCCTCACCGGCTTCCCACCCGCCAGCTCTGACAATAGCTCCTCTTCAGTGGTGGATAATAAAGATTTTTCCCTGTGCTGCCTGATTATCTCAGTCATTTTACTATTACAAACGACTTTAACTGTACCTTCAGTTACTAATTTGCATTCCAGACTTTCAGCAGTGACTTATCACACTTAAATCTAACAGTGCATGATTGCTGGTGCTGAGATGCATTTG